CGTCTAACATAAAACTTGATAAAACTCTATCACGCCTAGATTTTGTATCCACGTGTAAAGATAATGTAAGGGTGATATTCTTCTTATTAACGTGTGCCGGGATGGGCAACATGCCACTTACCCGTGTTCAATATGCAAGTTCAATGGAAGATTTGTTATGGTGGAATTCTTTGAAAATGTGTTACAACCATAGGCCACAAAATTAATCCATGTGTTTCCAAGCCAATAATTATGGCCTTCCCATCTATCTGCTCCAGATAAACACTTGTTCTTTCGTGAGCTTGAAGCACATGTTGAACATTCAACATTTCAGTACACAAATACATAACTCGTTAGACACAACTAAATCTTGCAAACGCAAATGGAGCTAACTTATTTACTATGCTTATACCAAGTGGTTTACCTAGTTGATTTGCCCTTGGTATGCATATGTAACTATAAGATACAATATGATGTATATGCCTTTTTTGCAAGTACCATCATGTATACACTCTTGATTAAGTTAAAGAGCGGAATACTTCAGCCATGAAAAATGCTAAAAATGACGCCTAATGATAATGCAGGCACACGTGAGATATGTATGCTACCAAAACGACAACACACCAACTGTTTCCAACCCTCGCAACCACAAGAATGACAATACATCATTTATGGCCAGCCTAGACCTCGACGAAAACGACAATACAAAAGTATACCACTTATGGACACACACTAGATGGTGCCTCACACTCCAGCTACGAGCGCATACCTCGTATGACACATGGTGGATCATGGGGAAAATGCATCTGAAAACATTAAAAACATATACACCATGGCCATACAACCTCTCCACTTAAAGTAAAACATATCGAACTACCGTCTCGCAACTCACCCCCGCCCTCAACATAATACCCGTCTCCGCCGCCCCCATCCCCATCAATATAAATTGAGGACTAGGGCGCAAGATAGGCCTTGCCTTGTGTTGTACCCCTTTACCCTAGTTCTGCGACGGCGTGGCTAGGCGGCGAGGAAGATAGGGCTAGGCGGCTCATCTGGGACAAAAGGGGAGGGCTCGCCCTTACTAATCCTAGAGCGATTGTGCAAGGAAGAGAAGAGGGGGCGGGCTGGGAGTTCTGGCAGCAAGTCTATTCCCTTCTTGAACGGATTTCTCACGATCACAAGGTATAAAATCCAGATCTATGTTTTGGGGGTGGAGATCCAGATCTATTTTCTGGGGGTGGAGATCCA